CATTGCTTCGCGAGCTGACTCGCCCGAGAAGACTTTCGAGGAACGGAAAACTTTGGCGCTGGAGGCACTCGCAGACGCCGCTCGGCTCTGGATCGTGAGTGCATTCACATTACCCGGACTACTATCTCGATACTGACTTAGGGCTCAGAGACTTAATAAGCCAGAGAGCGAGGAGAAAGGTGGCGATGCTGGAGAGTCGGATGAGGAAGATGAATGAGGTTTATGTATGATGGGTTAAGCGTGTAGATAATGATAATATCCCAGATAAATATGGCCGCTGCTATTCCGCTGCTGCTCCGCACCGCCTTCGGAATTGAAATTTCGATCAGTTTTCTACCAGAATCAGTCGCGCCATGGGGCTGGAGTACATGGTCCAAAGTACTGTACTGTGGGTACTGTCTTTAGACCGCATACGCCTTCGAACGTGCCTTTCTGAGTTTTGCAACAGTGACACCTATGGGCTGCCGTGGGAGTATCAATTGTTGCGTTTCCCTCGGCTGACTTGGGGCTGACTCGCTCGAAGGCTGCCCCAAAGTCCCTGACAATCAATCACGCTGTTTTTTTTTTGGCGGGCAGCCTGATTCTTCGAAATACCCTTGCCTCCCCGCCCTCCAAAAATCACTTGGTTCCTGCAAGCTCACTCTTTCTACATTGCTTGGCTGCCCGGATCCCTATAGATGTGCAAAGATTCACCATTGGGTGTTCCTACCCACTACTATAAAGTAACGATAGCGTACTTGGTTATAGGCTAAATAATCACTATTATTATAGATATAGACTTTTTACTACCCGTGCCCGCACCCACTTTTGCAGTGGGTGCTGTACATGGTTACTGCGTGCAAGCCGGGAAGAAACCTGGTCCGGAATGGTGCTGAGGCGATAATAAAGGCAGACTTTCTCACGTGGTATAGGAAATTCGATACATAACGCTCAAGGATACCTAGTTCTATCGAAAAGGCCTAGTGATGGGCAGATTTCTTTCTTCGTTCTATAATCCTAAGTAGGTTTCCCTTTTTACCACACTTATTTTTATTTTATTTTAATTATTAAAAATCTAAACTTTTATATTATTTTATCTTCTTAACGTCCTCCTCCTCCTCCTCCTCCTCCTCCTCCTCCTCCTCTTTAGTAGCCATCTCGTTATTACTATTTACTACTATAGGGCGTGATTTTAGTAGCGGAAGCACGCCTTAGCTTTAAGCTTTAACTAGTTACTTTACTTAGGATATAAGTTATTATCCTCGCTAGGAAGACTGATAAGCTTAGCTACGCTGGCCTTCTAAGGCTTTTCTAGGTTCTCCTTCTAGGCCACGACGGCGCCGGCGGCTAGCGAGGGCCTATATACCTATATATCTAGGCAAAGAGCACTGACTTGGCGTACCACTCCGTCTTAGCTAGGATGGCCTGGTACTTATGCACGTCGCCGAGCAGCTCGTAGTAGAAGAAGGCGACGTTTTTGGCGTTGCGCTTCTTGTGGGCGGCTAGCGCGGCGAGGCCCTCGCGGTCGCTGGTTGACGAGTGCAGCCCCTTTCCTTGACGTGTGTGAAGCACTCGGCGGCCAGGGCAACGTTTGCCGGGCATAGGGAGAAGAACTGGGTGGGAAAATATGATCAACGTACTATTATTCGTGGCTGGGCAACAGTGCCATTTGACAGGTGAAGGCAGTCTTTCGCCCCATTTTTAATTTTTATCGACACTGATAAACCCCTTTACACCACAAGGTCCAACTTGGACTGAGCAACAACATAACGGATATAATAACCACACTTTTGATTCGACTCTCTCTGTAATAGCCCAGCAGCTTGGTCGCCCGACGGTTTTGATGGTACTTTCTACTGATTTATATTCACTCTACATCACAAATGTCTTCGTCATCCTTTGGCTGGGTTTTACGCGATTTTACCAGCGAATCGTGCGGGCGACTTGCCGTTGTGCGTGAGCGGAGAGCATGACTGTTCCCCATGCCCTTCTCCTTCACGATACAGAGCTTGACAAGGCGTTGTAGAGTGAATATAAATCAGTGTAGAGAATCATGAGGATTATTAGACGATCAAGCGGCTAGGCTATCATGGCGCGGGTAAAATGGAATAGTGCATACGTTTCCTGTCCTGACTTTGGATCGAGAACATTGGTCGCTCTTTCTCACGAGTGCAAGACGACGTCTCTGAGAATTACTAAGACTAGGTTATATATACGCACTAAACATTCAGTTCACCGTATATATGTGTATATATATTTAATTTAAATTCCTGTAGACCATGCTACATTACTCTGTCGAAAGGCGAAAGTAGGCCAGCGCTTACCTAATCAAAGATTCGAGTCCTCCCAAGCAGCGTCGTCACCGCCAAATTTTTCAGAGATTCTGCCGCTAGAGTTGCCTCCAAACCGACGTTCAACCACATCGCATTCTCTGCACAGAAGCCCTTCACTCGGCTCACTCGGCGATTCACACAGTATCCACAATGTCGTCCATGCGAAATGCTGTCGATCGGCGCGTCCATCGCGAGCGTGCGCAGCCTCTGGAGCGCCGTCGCCTGGGTCTTCTCGAGAAACACAAGGTCGGTAGAGCTTCTCCTGTTCAACACTTTCGGACATGCCTTTTTATTGATTGTGAAATCGCCCGCAAATAGGATTACTCCAAGCGAGCCAAGGACTACAACAAGAAAAAAGCTCAGCTCAAGTCGCTGCGCGTCAAGGCCGCCGAGCGCAACGAGGATGAATTCTACTTTGGCATGATGTCCCGCAAGGGCCCCGGCTCCCGCATCAAAGACGGCAAGAGTTGGAGCGGCACGGTTCAGGGCGACCGCGGAAACAAGGTCCTTGACATGGACACGGCGAGGCTGCTCAAGACGCAGGATATGGGCTACATTCGCACCATGAAGCAGGTAATCACGAAAGAGATTGCCAAGCTCGAGGAGCAGGTCGTCATGACGAGAGGCATGGATCGCCTGGGCGAGGACGACGACAACGGCGACGACTTTGATGGCTTCGACAGTGACGAGGACGAACCTGTGCGTAAGCCGTCAAAACCCAAGGCTGCGCGGAAGATTCTGTTCTTTGACGACGAGGATGCACAGGAGGACGCTATGGAAGAGCATCTGGAACTTGAAGAGCGAGAAGCCGAAAAAGAGGACGGCAAGCATGGCGAGGAAGAAGATTCCCAGGACACGGAGCGAGAAAAGTCGCTGCGGAGACTGAGACGGCAGCTGGAGAATGCGCGAAAAAAGGTCAAGGTTCTGACGGACGCCGAGGAGGCCCTCGAGGAACAGCGCGCAAAGATGGCCAAGACGGCGACGTCGGGCGGCACGACGAGGCGTGGCAAGAAGATTGTGGTGCGCGCGCGCAAGAGGTAGACTGCGCTTTCGGTGGGTTTGAGAGTTATCCAGGATTACTACAAGAAAAAGCATGCTGAGCGGCGTTTAGGGCAAACTGTCACATAGGAATAATGAAAGAAGAAACAATGTCTCTTAAGCAAACGCAAAAGCCTCCAGAGTGCAAAGCAAAACATTCGCTGTCAAAAGAATATGGCCAAATTGATCCCAAGCGCCCCTGCCTGACAAAATAAATACCAAACATCGTTTCATCATAAAAAAGTCATTCCCTGTCGCGCTCTAATACTTTGACCGCACGCACCGAAACAGCACCCTGAAGACGGCCGTCAATATCCAAATGATGCACTTGAAGGTGCCCTTGGCGACTTTGATGCCGGCGCGCACGAGAAACGGCAACTTGTCCTCCTTTTCCTTGCTCTTTTTTCTTTTGCTCCGCGTCCGCACGCGCGTGCTGCTGCTCTTGGTCAGGCTCCCGTCCTGACTCTCCAGATCCATCTCAAACTGCTCCATCGGCGTTTGCTTCTTCTTCTTCTTCTTCTTGTTGTTGTTGTCTTCCCTACGGATGATGCTCAGGCGGCTGAAGCGGCCGCTGCCCCGACGAGCGTCGCCCGCGCGCGCCGCCGTTGCTGCCGGCTCCGCGAGCGCGGGCGGCGGCTCAAACGTCTCCATGCCGACACCACCACCACCAGCCGCGAACGAGGCGCAGCCGTAGCCGCCGCTGCGCTCGTCGGCAGCGGCGACGAGGAGTAGCGCAGTCACGGCGACGTCGATGATGTAGTAGGCCTCAATGTGGGCGGCGACGGAGGTGTCGACCTCGAGCCAGCCGCCGCCGGTGCCGTCGCGCGTCAGCTTGGCGAGGTGTCGCGGGGACTCGTGGTGCTCGAGCGTGTACTCGACGCGCGACCAGGCCGGGCAGCGATCGACGGTGACGCAAAAGGGCGCGGCGAGCGCGGGGTGCACGAGGTAGTTGCTGGCGCTATCCTCGTCCCAGACGAGGCGCGCGCATTCCCGCTCGGCCATGGCCACGAGGCTGGGCTCGTCGGCGCGCTCGACGGCCATCTTGGTGGCCGGGTCGGGCATGAGGAGCGCGACGAGGCCGTCGTTGGGCGGGTGCTTGCGCGACTCCTCCTCCAGCGTGGTGCGCAGGACCTGCTGCCAGTGCTTGGACTCGGACCTGGCGCCGACACCGGCGCCGGCACCGGCAGCCGCCGCGTCCATGCTCGGGCTCGAGGCCGAGGTCGAGGTCGAGGTTGACGACTCTGTCCGCGGGAGCTTGTACGTCTTGCCAGGGTCGTGCCGGGACAGCGAGACCAGAGCAGACGCCGAGGTGGGATCGAGACGGAGCGTGTAAAAGGGCTGAGAGGCCGACGACAGCGTGTATACGGGGGCGTCTTTGAGCTGAGACAACTTCAGGCAAAAGACGCGTCCCTCGGAGGGTGCGGCTTTCCAGCCATTGGCTGCCTTCCAAAACGTCTTGAGCTGGTCGGTGGTGCTGGTCTGGGGAATCACTGGCGGCGGGCGCAGCGTATTTGTGCGGGCAGGCCCGCGAGACGCAGCCGTAAAGGCCGCCGTGTCCTGCTGCTGATACCGTTGCGGCGGACTGCGTTGCTGCTGCTGCGCGGGCAGCTCGGGCAGTGGCTCGGTCGTGTACTCCTCGCCGACGGTGGTGCTCACGGCGTCGGGGTCGTAGTAGCTTTGCCGACTGATTACGGCCCGGGGAATGTGCGACGGGCTCATCTGAGTAGGTCCGTAGGCTTGTTGGTCCAGGGGCAGATCCGGGTTATATGTCGGAAAGATGGATCGGAGAGGCGCGGGCGCCGCACGAGACGACGACGACGACGACGACAATGGCAACGAAGACGTCGCGCCGCCGCCGCCGTCCAGAGGCGGCTTGGCAATGGAGCTGCGCGACCGCACACTGCCGTTCCTTGCCACGGGCTCTGCGGGAGAAAAGGTGGCGCTTTCGGAGCGACCAGACATGGTGCTCACTTGCTGCTGCGGCGAGGCGACAACGGAGCTGCTCGGGACGGGGTCAAACTGCAGAGGGGTATGGTGGGTGATTTTTTGTCGCGAGGGCGTCGTCACGTCTTGCGATGATGAGGGGGTTCCTACATCAGTCGAGTGGTCTGGCGGGGTATATAAGTTCTGCTGGTGATGTTGTTGGAGCTGCTGCTGCTGCTGCTGTCGGGCCTGCTCCCGCTCCGCCGAGCGCTTCGGCCGGGGGTTGGGGTGTAGCCGGATGACGGGCGGCGGCGGTCGCGTAACCTGCGGATTGGGAAACAGCGAGAAGCTGCTATTGTTGGCGTTGATTATCTGGGAGCTTGCCGTCCCGTTTTGCTGCTGTGTGGCCATTTCTCCCCGTCGTCGTTGTCCCAGTCGTCCTTATATATCGTAATGTAGTGTAAATGTGGTGTCGCCGCTGTGTATGTATATACTTCAATCTGGAGAGGCAGGCTGGGTCCGGGGCACCACAAAGGATTCAGGGCCAGATAAAAATAGAAGACGCGTAACGATTGGATAAAAAAAAAAAAAAAAAAAGTCGAACCATTTAATAAATGAGCCGGCATATGAATAGTCCTCGTGGCTTTTTCTTTTCCTTCTTGTCCCTGGCGTAACCCCCCCCGCTAAATCGATAACCACTGGCCCTGGTTCGTCTGCGTGTTACCGTCCGATGCCCGCCGGGTTAACTACAGCAAAATGAGACACAAAGCGGACAGAAAAGGTAAGAAAAGGACCAGCATGCAAGAATAAAATAAAAGAGGGTGTGGTGCGAAATGGTGAGGCTACACAGGCCATTGATATAAAAGTTTTGTACGCGCCGTGCTGGGCCACCTCCAAGTCTACAAGTTTCCGATTGCCCATGTCTAGCTCCTTTTTCTGGTTTCGCTCCGGCGGCGCTCTTTATTTTTGCTCTTGTAAACCGTAACAAAGTAAGCTTTTTTTTCTCTTTTACCCGCCCAGCCCAGCACACCTTCTTCCTTCGGGCCGTTCTCCGTCCCTTTGCAGAGCGTGCGTGATTGGTGTACAATGGCCCGTCTAAATAGTTTAGCGTTCCGAAACGCCGCTTGCAGCAACGGCAGTGAGCCAAGCAAGTGTCCGTAAAAGCGACCGGTGTGGGTGGGCGGGCAAGCGTGCCTGTGGTGATCTATTCTTGTCCGTTCCGTCCCGGGCACAGAATGGCCCATTCAGCTCCCAGCCAGCCATTTTAAGCGCCCAAAAGACAACAACGACAGGGGTTCCCCCCCTCTTCGGGGGGGGGAGGGCCTAGGAGTCTAGGACGATCTGAGGATGGAGGGGTCCCGCGTTCTGCCCCCGGGCACACCAGTACTGGACCACTCACATGATCCCGGCACACAACAATAGAGGCCTGGTCTCCATTGTTGCTCTCGCTACATGTGGACAAGAAAATGGGCCCATCGCTGACGATTTGCATCTCGTGTAACCAATCGTGAGAGCCCTCCTAGCGCCCGCCCATGTGGCTGGCAAGTCGCGACTCGCGACCCAAGCATTAGGCTGGGACGGCACCGCTATTGGATCGAAGAGAACGACCCTGTCAGTAAGTAATATGCAAGGATAACTAGCGTGGCTAGAGTTTTCTTTCCTAATCAAGCTGGTTCAACAAGGTATTATTATCATCACAAATATTCCACTTTTTTTAGTCTGCGCTTCCAATATGACAAGAATAACGGGCCGGGCTGGGGTTGGGCAGTTTATACTGTGGATAGCGAATTCGGGAATGCCCGTCAAGTGTCATCCAAGTTCATGCTCATCAGACGGGTGCCGAGAGGGAAAAAAAAATTAAACAGATGGCAGCTGAATTTGTAAGCCTGCCGTGTCGTCGCAGTTTTGTGATGGGCGCATAAAGCAGAGATGGTGACATGACAGCGCTTCTTGGCGAGATGACAAGGCTCTTAATCACATGTGCCATTACGTGACATTTCTGGCCGAGAACGACTTTTTGAATATGTTTTTTTTAAAAGCCCAATCACGTATAAGTAGCTGCATGGCTGGAAAATTTCGCTCCATGTGGCAGCCCGCTCGATTACCTGCCGTCAAATATTGACGCCCATCAGCATTCTGATTACATTCAATTACAGAATCGCAACGTCTGACATTTCAATTTCACGGAACTTCAAACTCCTCTCCGACTCACAGTGCTTATTTTAGGTCCAAATTGTCTCGGCAATGCAGCACTCCTGCATAATCCTGCATTCACTGCGGCATATGTGGACATGTCTCGTGCCCACTCCATCTCTTGAGATTGCTTTGCAGCATCACTAATTTCCATGCATTATAGATTGCGACTGCACTTGCGGTGAAGTCTAGAGAAATCAGGGTGATGTACTTGTCAACATGGCGCACAGTACGCGAGGCATAAGCAATTGCCTTGGTAGCCTTGCACTGGCTCAAGGACAAGACGGCACTGCCAAAACCAGCGCCAGCTTTGGCGATACTGCGCAGTACAGGCCACGAGCACTGTCCCGAAAATTCAAGAAAGAGACCAAAAAACGGTTGCCAAGTCTGGCTCAGTCGAATGAGAGGTTATGCAATCCAGACTTCACACCACGCATGAGAACAGGCTGCACAAGTGCTGGTTGTGGCATGTGACAGCAGCATGGCCTGGGACACATGCCATGGAACCGATTCACAGATGGATTCCGACACATCAGATGCAATGAAATAAAACTGTTGTGCAAGTGCAAGCTTGCTGATTCTTTATCGATGCGTGTCTCGAGCTGCGAGCGCTCTGAACTGGCGTCCGGGCCGTCATTGAGAAGCTCCACGTACAGCCGACTGTGACCCACGTCATGCGAGGCTAGGATGCGCAAGTATAGAGTAGCGACGTCTTTGCCAATGTTGGCGATATCAGTACAGTTCATGGCCAGAGTTTATCTTAATCACACTTGTACTGTTGTATGCTGCCTTTTGGCCACCTTTGGCAAGACGGCGGCCCCCAACTCGCATGTAGACGTGGGCCTATGGCGATGAAGAGTAGCTTCCAAGGCCTGAGATGGCCCAACAATCTGTCCAGGTCGACCAGTTTATGGCTTTCATGTTGCAGAGACGTAGCGAGATCTTGTCAACTTTTGAACACGTCGTGAGATTTCACCATCGCAGCTGCGACAGAGCCAATATGACTGTTTTTTTTCTATTTGTACAGTTGGGAGAAGTTTCGATAAAGCTGTATATGAGCCCAAAAAAAAATCAAGTAAGAAATCCAAAGCATTGCTCTGCAACAACGCACAACAGTGTATAGAGATGAAGATATCAAACGCCAGACAAATGCAAAGTGCCCACTCCCTCCAGCTTCATGCCCATCACACATATACAAGTACACACCCCTTCCCTCCCCCATCCCCCCTCCAAGGGCCGTGGCCACCCATCATCATCATCGTTTGTTGCCATCAAGCGGACGATCCTTGGCCGGCATGCCGCCAATCCTCTCCTGCAGCTGAACGCCTTTTTGCTCAGCGTCCCTCTGCCGCGACAGCCGCACGTCCTCGGGCAGCCCCCACCAGTCGTGCATGAATTCCTCCTGCGCGACGGCCACCTTGTTCCTGGCCTCGCGCTGGCGCTGGCGGTCCATGCGCATCGCGAACCACTCCTCGCGCGCGGCGTCGTGCTCCTTTTGGTTGGCGTGCAGCTTCATGCAGCCATTCATGACGCGGTGCTCGGCGCGGCACGCAAACGAGACGGTAAATGTGCGGCCAAGGGCGCAGGCGGCAAAAGCTGTGGAAGCAGAAAAAAGGGGACCGTTAGTATCATTCAAGGTTGACGCGTTCCCTTCTCTTTTGGGAGATGGTTTCGAATGGGTTGCGGTGTCTACCTTTAATCTCGTCGGCGCATTGCTTGCGGACGCGCGCATAGTAAATGTCGCGCACTTGCGACTCCTGGGACGCGGACAGCGGGAGCGGATTGCGTGACGGCACGCCCAGGCGCTCCGGGGGAGGCGTAGGCAGATCGGATGCTTGGCCAGCCATTGCAGCCTCCATGTGTTGCTTCTATTCCAAACAAAGTCTCAGGCTGTCGTCGAGTTTTGTCGAATCGTACGAGGCTTGACGACTTCGGGGAGGTTCGACGATGTGGATTGGTTATGCTGGAGCCGCTAATGGACAAGGCAGAGGATTGGCCGGCACGTTCCACGACTTCGTAGGATGTTCGCTTCAAATTTGAGTGTCGCGAGAGCCAATGCGTCCTTGGCTGCTTCGCCGTTCGCTGTGACAGAACTTGATCAGTGCAAGGAGCTTGGTCTTGCCATGGCGTGGTTGGGTGGCAGTATTCCCACACCGCCTGCCGTATTTGTGCAGATCGATTAATATAGCTTGATAATTCAACACGAGTACGAACCACAGTGGTCGATTTATTACAAGGCTTTATTTTACCTTTTCTTGAACTCGGATTTACGCTTGCCTTGTTGTGGAATGGTTGAAGGGGGCTTTCATCATCTGACTGCGGCTGACCGCCATGTTCTCGGCGCCTAGCATGAGGTTATGAGGCTGAACTTTGTACTCAGCTGGGGCGTGTGAACAAGGCAGCAATGTCCTTTTCTGTGGAATTTTTCGGGTCGAAATTTCAGATAAATCATGAGCAACACTATTTTGAAAAAGTTTGGATATCAAGTAATGTGCACCCCAAGATTCGCAAAGTGGTATCAAAGAAGTCATTGGCCCACGGCCCGCGTAGCAATCCCAATCATATCATTACATCACATTCGAGTTGAGACTCCCCAGAACCAAACATCACCTCAGTCAATTTCTGTGCTTGGCCAATAGTCCGAGTATTTTTCTGCACATGTCAATGACATTTACTGGTGGTGTTGCTGCTGCTGCTGCTGTGGAGTTGTCTGGTTGGGGTCTTGGGGGTGTTGCTGCTGTGGCTGCTGTGGCTGCTGGTACTGGGTGTCGACTTGAGGAGCTTGGTATTGGGTCTGGACCTCAACAGGCGGCTGAGGGTATTGAGGATATGCCTGTTGCTGCTGGCCGTTGTACTCGGGCTGGACATATTGCTGGGGCTGCTGAGACTGCGGCGGCTGGGGCTGCTGCGGCGGCTGCTGGCCCTGGACCTTTTGCTCCTCCATGTTGTGACCGGCATTGGCTGTGCTGGAAGAGCCGAGGGTATAGCGGCCGTCCTTGCGTCCTTTGAGAAAGTTCATGATTGTCCAGACGAGGGTGACAATGAAGAGGACCCTATAGGTGCATAAGTATAGGCTCACGTCATCGGGGTGGCGGTGCAGGTCAAACTCACCAGGCAATAGCGCCAAGAGCAGCGACACCGGCAAGAAGGCCGCTGAGAGTCTGCCAGGTCATGGCGCGACGCTCAATGGAACGCTTCTTGTAGTCGTAGCAGATGCCTTCGTAGCAAAACCGGCCGCGCCCACCTCGGCGGCCGCCAACATTGCCCAGCTCGGCGCGACGAGCGGCGTTGAGAGCCCACGCAGACAGCCAGATGATGCACATGAAGGCGTCCAGGGCAATGACTGCGTAGATGGTGTAAAAGGCATTGGCGACGGGAATCCTTTCCGTCACGAGAATGTAGGCGACGACGACCCAGGTGAAGACGGCCTAAGGGCGAGCATAGCATGTTAGTGAATCGGTGCCGGGAGCCATCAATGTAGTAGTCAAGTGCGAAAAAAAAAAAAGGATGACATACGGCGGCAATGGCGAGGCTGGGAGCGTCGAAGAGCGCATAGTCGGTCCAGGCGGCGGCCATGCCCAGAATGACAATAGACAAGACAACCTGAGCGATTCGGATGCCAAACACCCACAACGGGGTGACGAGCGTCTTTTGGGGATTTACGGCGCGGCTATCCATTGTGGTAAAAAGAACAGAACCGTTGACGTAGTCAAGGTGGTACAAGTACTATTTGGCGTTTGAAAGGGAATGAAAGGGAAAAGGGTTGAGACTCTGAGGTTTGGGTATCGTAGGGAATTAATATGAAATAGAAGGACCTTGTCGAGTAAGATGGTGATGGATGGCGCACGAGCTGAAGCTGGGAGCTCAAGATCTTATATGAATAGACCGCCACCAAGCTCTCATGTCCGTGGTCGGTAGGGTAAAACAGCAAACCAAGGAAAAATACTTTGTACGAGGGCGGAGCTTGTCAGGCATGTCTGTCATTCATCGTGTGAGCCCAGGGCTGAATCATCCCGCCAGTCCCAGCTCTGGGTCCATAGCGGTTGCTAGCAGGGGATTGTCCACGCCTCGTAGCTTACAGGCTCTCCTCCTCAACTGGCCCCTACAACAAAGCGCCATTCAGCCGCACTGGGGCTTGCTTGCTAGAGACGCTGCTGATTCAGTGATTAGGGATGCTCTGTGGATTTGGCGTGGTCTGTCATCGGGCTCGCACTCGCAGCCAAGGCGAGTTGGCTTGGGCGCTAACGGCTCAGCTAAAACGCTGCTTGGCCGTTTCGAGCCCTTGTGGAAGCCAAGTCCGATGGAGTTTTGATTGTCTTTGCACAGCACATCAGGAGGAGGTGAAAGAGGGATCGGCATGGCGGCAGAATAGGCTCAGCCACGGGAGAGCAATGGCAATGCCTCAGCTGGTCTCACAAGGGTCTGTAGCACCGAAAGCTACTGATATTGTTCGATGCAGCTTTCCAAAATTAGGCGACTCGAAATCGAATCGTGGCAATGACGCTGTTTAGCGATAGAAATTTAGTCACCATCATTTCCATTTTTTTTTTTTTTTCAATTCTAGTCGAGAGAGCTTCGCATAAGAATTGCCCTTCCTTCTGAAAGGCAAGTCTGGGTGCTTATATGGGCTTGTTACAGCCACCATCATGCACATGCGCAGAGCACCCATCACTATACACGGGTGGTGACAAATTTTTTCAAAGCTACGGCGAGTACATAGAAGCCGATAAAGTGTAACGCGATGCTTCACCCTGGACCTGCATAAGTAGCCCGAAGCTAACTTGGGGGTTGTAAAAGATTGCCGGCATGCTTCCGTAGATTCTGGAAAATCAAAGTATACCATCATAGTTACGTATGATGTTCCAGTCTGGGACTGCAAATGATACCGACCGATCAGATGATCAGATCAATCCCCTCCAGAGTCGCCCTTTTAGTATTGCGACTAACAAGCCAGGCAAAAAGCCGACAACGGAGTCTACGTATTATACTCAAATAATTCCGTACAAAGTGCAAGCAAAAGCAAAACGAAAACTCCCGAAAGAACTGTAAACGAATTTGTCCGACTCTACCAAAGAGCCCATCACAGAGACTACGAAGCAATCTGCTCAGGGCCAACTACAACATCTCGCTAAAAAGCCTGCCTTTTGAAACCCGGCCAAAGAGACAACAGATATAACAGAAAGGCAAAAAACAGAAGGAAAAACAGAACAAGAGGTGACCAGAAAAATCAGACAGCATGCATTAAATAAAGACTCGATAATGCGTTAACTACCTAAAGCTACTGGGTGATATTGCGTCTCCGACTTTTGCAACACGCGTTTTGTATTTAGCGACGCTTTCGATGACGTCTCAGCTTGGCGCATCGTCTTTTGTCCCAACAAGGCAACCGGGGCAATTTAGTGGCTGCGCTAGCCATGACTGTAATACTGTAAGCCTTGTGAGTGCCGAGACGGACAGAGAGGCACGAAAGGCTGTGCGCCGACGGTGCCGCGCCCGACGGGCGCAGGTGGCTGCATATGTAATGTACCCAGTAGGCCCCAGCTCTTATTATTGACGCCTTTTTTCGAAGAATCTTGGTCTCTGGCCTGGCCTTGTCGAATCATGTTTCATCGAGACTTGCACCCGTTGAAGACGGCGCTTACACTTTCGCTGCTGTACAGTGTGACACCAGCCAAACGGCGTTGGCTCGAGACCAACATCAGTTGAAGGCTCGAGACCAACACCATTTGGGAGATTGGGATTAGTTTTTCTTCATGGCATCGATGCTACCCTTTATAATGGCGTCAAGTTCAAAAAGCGCCTTCAGCCGAGCTGTTTGTGCTTCTGAGGACTTGCCCGACGAATTCTTGCTGATTACGTCTTTCTCGTCTCTCCAGCCGTAGTCAACTTTCGTCATAGGTCGTGCAAACTTTATCTATTCTTTCCAAACGTCACGGATCCCATACGGTTAGACGGCTAACATGACACCCGGTCGTGAATCAGTTTAGTCATGATAGCACAAGCCTCCGAAGAGCAGTATGTCAGCCATGTCTTGGTAGAGCGAGGAGCAGCCGTATTCATACAGCAACAACTGATAAACGACGGTAATGGGCTATTGGTAACATGTGTACGCGCTCATCATGTGAATAGAGCATCATTTATCTGGGTATATATTGCCCGGAGAGTGCTCCTTGTCATGTTTGTCCAAATACAACTCCCAACACGCCCAACACGCCCAACACGCTCAGCACGCTCAATACGCCCAACACGCCCAACACGCTCAACACTTGCCATAAAGGTCATTCGCTCAAGTTCACATAGCTCAAGAGGAGAAGAATGGCGGTAACCTGCAAATGTCGCTACGTTATAAAAAAGGGCCGATGTGGACACTATCTCGGGGAAGAAGAGTACAAGCCCAAGAACGCACACGATTGTCCAGCAGCAGTGAGCAGGTTTAGAAAGGGTCAAACTATTGTTCATTGCCCCAATGCCAAGTTTGAGATTATTTCAGAAGCAGAAAGAGTCTGCAAACGACCGAAATGCTGGACCAGAGTGATGCTTCAGCAAACCCCTGGCTGGCGTTGCTGCAAGTGCGATGACAGGACGCCCAAGGGCAAGTTTGTTTGCTTTAGTATCAAGTGCAGACATCACTGTTGCCAAAATTGCATACCATACGATCCAGCTGACGACCCGCCACGGTCGAACCGGGGTGCTCGGAATTCAGAACCATCCGATCCAGCTGAAGACCCGCCAGAGTGGAATGAGGGTGCCGAGGATCCTTAATAACGTTGAGCAGATAGTGGTGCGGCCTAGGTGGAAATAGGTGCGAGAGAGACTTATAATATTATAATCAAGGCAGTTGAAAAGTTGGCACATCTAAATTCTTCAAACAAACACATTATCATTAAGCTTCTTTTTCTGCGACTTTGGATCTCTTGAAAGCGCTTAGATTTGAGCCATTTTCATGACGAGTTGAAACGGGCACCCGGATGGCACCAGCATGCGGCACGCTTTCCCAATTTGTTAACCCTGCGCTTTGATCCCATCTCCTGTTAACTTATGAAAGGAGAAGAATTCTTTACTGGTTGGGCCCTCCAATCAAAATCTTGATAACTTGACCCTCTCTGACCTTTTTGAATGCCTCCTCAGCCTGACGGAATTCTACCACCTCAGACACCAGCTTCTTGACATCCACCTTGCCGCTTGCCACCAGCTCAATGGCCAGCTCATAGTCTCCAGGACCATAACGAAAGGAACCTCTGACTGTGACCTCCTTGAGGCACATGGCCATGATGGGAAAGGTAATGTCGGCCTTTCCCATGCCGCCCTGGACATATGTGCCGCCCATGCGCACGGTGTGAATGCTCGCCTGGATAGAGGGCTCGGCGCCGCTGGCGTCAATGACCACGTCGGCGCCGTCGCCCAGGCCGGCTGCCTCCTTGAGCGCCGCGGCATTATCCTCGGCCGAGATCTTCTGCGACGCGTACGTGTGCGTCGAGCAAAACGACCTGGCAAAGTCGAGCTTGGACTGGACAATGTCGACGCTGACCACCTTGGACGCGCCGTGCGCCCTGGCGACGGCAGCGCAGAGAAGGCCGACGGGGCCGGCGCCCATGACGACGACGGAGCTGCCCGGGCGCACGTCGCCCTGCCTGACAATGTGCACGGCGACGGCGAGCGGCTCAATCAGCGCGCCCTCTTGCAGCGAGACCTGGTCGGGCAGCTTGTAGCAAAAGTCGGACGGCGCCGCCCACACACCCGTCAGCGTGCCGTGGTGCGGCGGCGTCGCGGCGAAAATCATCTTGGCGCACAGGTTGTACTTGCCCGCGCGGCAGTGCTTGCAGCGTCGGCAGCCGTAGCCGGGCTCGAGGGCGACGCGGTCGCCGGGCTTGAGATCCGTGACGGCGGAGCCTACCTCGACGACGGTGCCGGAGGACTCGTGGCCGAGGACCATGGGCTCCCTGACGACAAAGTGGCCGATGGCGCCGTGCACGTAGTAGTGCACGTCGCTTCCGCAGATGCCAGTGTAGTTGACGGCTACCAGCACATTGTGAGGGTCCTCAATGGTGGGCTTGGGCTGCTCGACATAGGCCACGTCAAGCGGCTTGTTGAGGATAAAGGACAGGTTCTGATTTGGTGTTAGTAATTTTTATCAACTTTTTCTCTTTTTATTTTGGCAGAAATCTCAGCTCACACTCAGCTTTTCCTTATCCAAAGCTTGGGCGGCCATCTTAGCGACAATAAAGTAGGTCTCTCGGAGTCGGGCGTTCTGCCAGTCGGTGAAGCAGGTGTCTCAAATACAGTGACGTGACTTTCGATCGATGGCTGAAAACTGATCTCGAGCTTTGAAATGTACGACTTCCACCCATAGAGCTGTTTTGTGATACTCAACAGCGATATCGCCACTGTGGGTTGTCATGGTGGTTCATGCCCCGCACTATCAGTATTCTGCGGAGCTGTCGATGCGCACCAATAGCATCGTGTGAATCTTGACTGCAGAAGCGGCCCAATCGCCGACGCTTCCATCACCGGCATGCAGATGAGGGCATCGACATGCTTGAGCGGACTTTCTAGACGTGGTTAGTCCGCTGCGCCGTGTTGTTCCATGGGCGGCGTTGTCTCGAGCGGAAAGCATTGCGCTCGGCAGCGCGCCGGGCTGCCATGGAGGAGATGCAATTGGTAAGTATTTCACTCCCTAATTGCGAAAAGCATATAAGACAATGGACTCTGAGATCGGTGGATAATTCAACAAACATGCGTTGGCAAATGGCAGCTTAAGACATCCGGCTGTCGGCCAGAACCCCGCGACGCCAGCCTCGGCTAGCCCCTCCAAAAGCGTAGCCGTCTGAAGGAAAACTTGTAAGTCAATTGTTCGACTACGGTTATTGCATTCAATCTCAGAGAAACCATCTCGCTTTTTCCACCATGGCTGAATCCGAATTTCATTCCATACTCTATGATAAATCCACCGATGGCAAAGTCGCCTACATTACGCTGAACCGGCCCCAGCACCTCAATGCCATTGACACCCACATGCCGCTCGAGATCCGCGCCGCCGTGCGGCAGGCCAATCTCGATCCCGACGTGCACTGCATCGTTCTCAAAGGCAACGGCGCCGGCTTCTGCGGCGGCTACGATTTAGATATCTTTGCAGCCTCTGCGCTTCGCGGCGAGACGGCGGGCAGCCAAGACCTGTCGGAAGGCTACGAGCCGTTTCGCGACTACCTCTTGATGAAGGAGTGCACCGACTGCTACGCGGCGCTCTTCCACAGCTACAAGCCGACGATTGCGCAGGTGCACGGCGCCGCGGCGGCCGGCGGCTCCGACATTGCGCTCAGCTGCGACCTCGTCGTCATGGCCGACGACGCGCGCATCGGCTATCCGCCCGCCCGCGTCTGGGGCTGCCCGACGACGGCCATGTGGGCGCACCGCGTGGGCGCGGAGCGGGCCAAGCGCATGCTGTTCACGGGGGACCTGGTCGACGGCAGGGAGGCGGCGGCGATGGGGCTGGTGCTCAAGTCGGTGCCGCGGGACGAGCTGGGGGAGGCGGTGCGGCTGCTGACGGATCGCATCAAGGCGGTGCCGGTAAACCAGCTGTGGATGCAGAAGCAAATGATTAATAGCACGTTTGAGGCGCAGATTGGGGCGGGCCAGCGCTTGGCTACGGTGTTTGATGGCATCACTAGGAATTCACCAGAGGGTCTCGCTTTCCAGGGTCTTGCCGCGGAAAAGGGCTTCAAAGCGGCCGTGGCGGCAAGAGACGAGCCTGGAAGAACAACAGCCTACAGGAAGATGTGGAAAAGCTCATTGTGATGGGAGTGGCTGAGTTACGTTTACGTTCCTACTGAAGCAGGCTAGAACCTGTGCAAGTCACGAAGTGTTGAAAAATCAACGTTTTTGCTAGGATATCAGGTCTATCTACCAAGTACAATCCAGTCATTAAACAGTCGTATTGCGCCCAGAAAAGAAAATACATGAATCAGAAAAACAATGTGCCCATCCGCCTAAATCACCATTGTGGCGATGTGAAGCACGCGCCTATCTCAAAAAGTGAGCCTGTTGAGCAGACACAGCCGAGTGTCTGCGGTGAGTGCTGTCCTCGGGATAATCGTGGGTGATTTCGGGAGGACCAAGGTGCTCGCGCATCTGGCTTGGGGAGAGAGCCGCCGCATCAGGTTCACCGCTGAAGAGATGTTAGCTTATCGAGTGCGGAGTAGTGAGAAGATGCTGTCAACTTACGTTGGTGTGGGTGACTTGCTGCTGCGGCACTGTTGTGTCGTGTTGTTTTGCGCAGCCGCAGCGGCACTGGAGAGCTTGGAGTTGTCAAAAGTCTGATTGGAAGACATTTTGTGAGAGTTGTGTAGCGATGCAGTGAAGCGATGTGGGAGAACAAGGTGTAAGATGATGTTGTATCTTGTTGTTGGCGTTCCGAAGTTGACAAATGTGTCAAAAATATTATGATATAGATTCGATGTTTCTGGAGAAGATCGGTTTTACGGGGAGCAAGAGGGTCATTATATATGTCGAATCTCTAGCTTCGAACAAAGGTAATTTATTGCCAAGTGCAATGCCTGTGGTAGCTGCTGCCGAGGCCACCGTTGGCAACGCAATCGCCACCATAGCACTATCGTCATTGTGTGGAGAGTTGCGCCACAAGGCGCAAGGCGACCAACTGCCGTCCAATCTCACTAGGTTTGGTTCTTTCTCGGGGTCGGTCAACCGGGTCCCGATCTTGGCGTGTGGTGGCGGATGAAGTCTAAATCTGTTTAGGCGAGCGCTTGACATGCTTGGCAATGACGCAGACATGCAGCGTCTCCCCGGGTCGTGATCTGCGAGGTCTTTAAAGAGCCGAGTTTTCGGATATGCCAGCAACTCACAGAGTCAATTGTATTTACTTCCTCGTTATGAAGTTTTTTTTTTTTTTTTTTTGGGGT